GCACAACACCAGGACTCCTTAGACAAATGTTGTTGTTGTTAAGTGCTGTCAAATTGGTTCCGACCCATAGTGACCCTGTATAAGGTTTCCGAGGAGCAGCTGGTGAGCTTGAATTGCCGACCTTGCAGTGCAAATGGCTTCGCAGTCTGACGCATTAACCCACAGTGCCATACCAGGACTCCTAGATAAACATAGATATATGATAAACACAGATATATGTATATAGATAGATTGGACTGTATCTATTTCATACAGTACACAGTTTTATCACTTGTCACATTTGCTGCTTAAGAGCAATTATGTAACAGACTCTTACTTATTTAGCCAATTTGAAGAGTAATAAACGCTCTGTGCTGTATGAATTAGATCCAGTCAAGACTGTATCTATCTGCATATATCTATGTTTATTTTATATAAAACGTGTATGTTATCTATAGGATATAAAGCTATGAAACATGCTATACAGTATGAATAAGACAATAAAGGCATTAGCCCTGATGTATGTAGGAGTTTTGGAAAGTTTTTAACAGGGAATGGTACTGAAGCAACCTGGGCCATGAGAGGTATATAGGAATTCTCCAAAGATAAAGAACGTGAGAGAGGAGAAATGTATTTCACTAAACAGAATTATTTTATTTAACTTTTAATGCTGTTTTCTGCCCCACAGGTGATGAAGGGAGTATGCCAGCAGATATAGCCACATTATTAAAAACTTCAATGGGCCTGTAAAATTGTGAATTCCTAATAGATGAGGAAATATCAACTTGGTGCACTCAAGGACATTTACATTATGATGACCATGGGGTTTATGAACATTTATAAATTTTTATAATTTCCATAATGCATTTCTCATAGTATGGACAACTTTTTTGCCACTAACTGAATTCTTCAGATGCTCACTCATGAAATTAAAAAACAAAAAAGCCACAAATATTGTAGTCCTTAAGATGTTGAATAATCATTTTACAAAGCAGTTTTCTGAATGGGGATTAGTTGGTGATTGTTTGTAACAAATATGCTAATGCTTTAGAAATGTCAGTATTTTTGTAATTATTTCTACCTCCAAATATATATATATTGTCTTTCACTGGATAATGTGTGTAGATTTTTACATGTGCCTTATTTGATGATGCTTATGTCTTGTTTTTGCTTGTCTCATTTGAAGTTTTTTTTTTGATTATGTTAGTTTAAGTATTGCGGCTGTATAGGTTTTATAGTTTTAGTTTTTTGCTATTTGAAGCAGATGTTCACCACTGTCAACAAGAACTCAACCTGAATTTAAAGGTGGCAACCATATACTAACATCCCCCAGGTCCTCTCAAGTACTTCTGTTGAACCAAATTTGTTTGGCTAGGCACTAAGTTGTTTTCCAGTGAATAGTAACTGAAGATGCCCTTATCTTGCTCCATGGATTGATTCCTTCTGTTCATTTTCCAGCTGCATTTACTGTGCATATTAGTCTGCCTATTCTATTCTTGTGCATGTTTCCATTGATTTCCCTCTCCTGGCTTTTGCTTCTCTTAAAACTGTTGCCCAGTCACTTCTGCTCCTGTTCTCTCTAATTAATAGGTTCTTCCTGCCACATCTCCTTGCATCAGTAAAATGTTGGTAACATCTTTCTAGCTTGGCAGAAGAGATTAAAGCAATTTCATTTCAAAGCAGTCTGATGTGACTTCATGTTAAGGTAGCATTAGGTACTGCATGGAAATAGGTCATTAACTTTAAATCCTTATCAAAATATAATTTACCAGTTTCCAGAATTTCCAGTACAGGACCTCCTGAAGAGAGAGCCATTGTTCACTTCCAATTCAGTGTGGGTGACAAAATGAAATTTAGACGTAAAGTTGTCTATTTGATATTTTAACTCCTTAAGTCTTTTTTTACATTTTTGCCTGTCAGTCTATATTGCTGTTTTTATTATACATCAGTTTCTTTGTATAACTTGTGAGTTTCATGTTCTGTTTTTATTATGTAAATATCATTATAAATAAACTTATTTATAAATCGAAGATTTGTTCATTATTGGAGAGCATACTTTTTGAG